CTGGCGTAAGGCTCAACAAGGGTTGTAGGTGATACCTCATCTAATTCCAAGCAAAGGGACATTAGGGAATTCCCCACAATGGTCGATGATAGTAACATTCTCCAAGGATCGAGAACACTAATGGATATCTAAATGTTTGAGCGTCATTAACCTATGGGACCACCTCAAACCTTGCTTGTTCTTCAACACAGATCGGGGAAGATGTGAAATAAACAATCTTACCAAAAGATGAGTGAAGCACATGAGGGATCCTCTCTTCCTCATAGTGCGAGTGTGGAGAGAATGTAGGATATCTCCCAACAAGGTAGGCACTGGATTGCGAGACATGAAGATTTTGACAGCATTGGTATCTATGAGTTGATCAGGGTTTGGGAACAAAACCATCCCATAGATGAGAAGGGCCAAGATTTATTCAAAAGCTTGTAAGTCGAAAGAGTTCCAACAATCTTGAGATTTCTCAAACAAGAACTTGGCTAAGAAACCTTTGACACCACTCCTTATTTCCCAATTGGTTGTGATATCAAATTGTTGCAAGTGTAGTGCTCGGGAAATCTCTTCAGGTCTTGGATCTCTTTCCGTACTGTTGAAAGGTAGTTGATTGAGAATGAGAATCGTCAAGAGTTGAGAGAATTCCTCCATAGTAGGCATAAGTTGATAGTCGGGAAAAGTGAAGTAATGGTGTAGAGGACCAAAGAACTGGAACAATACCTTCATCATATCTTCATTTATGCTAGAGGTAATCAAGTTTAGGAGGCAACCATGTCTTTCGGTGACTAAATAGTTCTCAGGGACCCTTGATGCTAGCTCTTTGAGTTGGGAAGGAATTCTTACGAGATTGACTTGAATGGTTTTCCTGCGAATAGAATCCATGTCCTACAAAACAAAACAAAGATAAATCCAAAAAATCCTTGAAATGGTTAGTGAGAATGAGTATGATGTTATGATGTTTATGATGTTATGTACAAGTAAGTATATACACACAAGACAAAAAAGTCCTTAGGTTTAGGCTTGTATGGAGTCTTATAGGTAAGTACCCTCTTGAAGTTTAGTTGGCTTAAAACCTGTCCTAGAAATAGTAACCGGGTTCAAAGGGATCTCAATATCATCGATATTTCTTATTGGGCATGGTTTTAGCGCGAGCCTCTTTAATGGAGATCGAAATATCCCAAGAAGTCAAGCCTCAATGAGTGTAGTATCGAGTATCAACCAACTTCGGACTGCACCAAATCCGGTTATCTCACTACTTCCTAATGGCCAAAGTTGGTCAAGTAAAGGTTCTAAGTCAGTTAGTGTTACATGACACCACACAACGGCCCCGTATTCTCATTGACTATTCAAGGGCTACCAGTATCCACAAATGTGTCACACTAACATAGATATTGCTTAGACCATGTCGATATACCCCACACAATTTCCACAACATATTTCTACTTACCTATAAGGTATCCCAAATTCGGGTAGAGGATTAGAACAAGCCCAAACAAGGAACCAAAATGTAAAGCATACAAGTCAAACAATGAAAGCAAGTAAATGTGACATAGCCATAAGGTAACCCAACTTTTAAGTTTCTTCCCCAGTAGAGTCGCTATTTCTGTGATACGGTGGGAGAATTGACTTGGGTGTTTTACGTTTTATCACAAATATTGCAGTTAGCAAGATTCACCACCGACTTTTCTTTTATCCAAAAGGAAAGGCCGAAAAGAACAGGAAAGACCTTTGATATTATTTCTTGAGTTCGGGGGGGGGGGTAGATTATGAAAAGGGAAGGTGTTAGCACCCTTTTTATCCAGAGTTATCTATGGGATCTTAGTTGCTTACTAGATCACTTTCTTTTGTTTGAAAATGTGCTTTGTATGGTTTTTGAAAGTATTTTGAAAAGGCACCATCGTTTAGGCAAACTTTTTAATAGTTCTCGTTCGTAAGAATGTATAAAAGTGTTGATCTTTTGAAAATGTTTCATGTTTGAAAAATGTTTTGAAAGTGTTTTGGTGTGTTTTGGAAATAAGCAAGAGTGTTTTGGTTTGAAATTGAGAAAGAAACTAGGAACAATCTACCTACTCAAAAGTCTTAGTTCATTTCTTCCTTTCCTTTGATATTGCTATCTTACCATTGATTTGGTAAAAAGCCTTATCTTTGGATGTATAGGGATGGGCGTGGGTCATCGTATAGCCATGATAGCAATGTTGTGAGATATCTTAGCAATTCTCTTTGAGGGACTAAGATCATTTTGAAAGGCAACATTGATAGCATCATCGAGGGACTATGATCTTTTATTTTTGATTGCTTTTTGGCTAAGATATCCCACATGCATAACATGGACATTTTTGTAAGGCAACATAGTGGAATTACCCTAAGAGTGTAAGTGTGCAAGTGTGTTTGATTTACATGCTTGTTTATCTTGAATTAGGGTTTGCTAACTTGTTGATTTTATCTTTCAATACAAACCCTAATTTACTAGCATTTATATAAAGTGATAAATTGCGGAAAGTAAAAATACTAAGCTATTACATCATTAGGGGAAGGGGTATATAAATTTACAAATGGGGATTTGCAAGAAAATTAAACCTAATTAATTATTACAACCATATTGAATAAATGTACCAGAATTGAATAAATAATGATGTACAAATGCAAATGAAAAAAGAAATGATTTTTGTTTGATTTTATGAAAGGGTTTTAACCTAAACCTAATTAAAAAATAATTAATGAAAAATAAAACAAAATTTAAACCTAAATTAATTAAGAAGGAAATTAAGTTAAAAATGTTTTTTAGGGTTTTTTATGAAAAGGTTTTAAATTAAAGAAAATAATATGGAAACTTAATCAATTAAAATAAACCTAAGTTCTAAATTAATTTTAATTTACAAGAGGATAATATAATAATTAAACCTAATTATCTAAATATTAATTATTTAAGAAAAGAAATTAATTTGTTTTATGAAAAATGTTTTTGTTCTTTTGTTTTTTATGAAAAAAATAAAAAATATAAGTGTGAAAATAATAATAAAAATAATTTTTATATTTTTTAATAATAAAAATAATAAAGATAACAATAATGATAATAATAAAAATGATAAAAAATAAAATGAAAATAAAATAAAGAAAAAGAAAAATGAAATGATAAAGAAAATAAAGGGCCAGGGGGTGCAAAAATGAATCCGGGATTAGAAGAAGCAAAAAAATAGCCAGGCCCAATGTTGGAGGCCCAGCGCTGCAAACAGAAACAAAAAGAAAGTGAAAAATGTGAAAAATGTGAAAAATGCACAAAAGGGTACCACTAGGGCTCGAACCCAGGTCCCAAAGGTTAACAGGTGTGTGCTTTATCACTGGGGTGGCTATACATTTGTTGATATCAACAAAACAATAAATATGTAACATAAATCAAGTCCTGAATGACCTTCATCTTCAACCTCCAGCCAAAGAACCTGTAACTCATTCATTTCTCATCCATTCACAAAACTTCCAACATCAAACTTGTTAGAAATTTCCTCACGATTCTGAATATGTGAATAACTTAAGCTAATTCTCAAAGATGAGCATGAATTTCTAACAGTACCAAATTCTAACCTAAATATTTTCGAGGTTCAACTTGTCATGAACGCTTGAGTTGCATATGAGGATCAATTTAAGATGAACAGTGGAATTAGGGCTATGATCCATCCAATTCCATCAAATTCTAGAGATTAGGGTTTATTTCCCGACACCTAATCAAGATAATTGTGGTTTCTATCTAGAGTGTTTGAGCAATGGCTTTAGTTCTTTAAATTGAGGCCCAGAGGTTTAGGGTTGGCGGCTTGTTGATACTAAAATTTATGACTAATATTGTTTTGAACTAGAGTTTGATTTCATTGTCTCAAGTCGTGTTCTCTTTCTAGGTCTTCAAGTCCATATTGATTCAAGGGGATTTCTAAAATTGGTTTTTACCAAGCAATATTCATCATCCAAATTCTATTCAAAATTCCACTCAAGGTTTTAATGTGCTCAAGTTAGTCGAATGTCATCAAGGTTCTTAAACTTTGTTTTGATCATGGTGTCAAAGAATCTGATTCGAGCAAGATTGGAAAATTGGAGTTATAATTTCAAAGTTAAGATTGAATTTGGGTTCATTTATTGAAGTATTCATTCAATTCTTGATGCCAAAAGTTCATAAGTTCAATTAATCATAATAGCACCAAAAAGTTGTGTTCATAACGTTTTGAGCTTCTTAAAGTGGATAAAGGGTTTATGTCCAAATGGGCACCAAGTTCAAGATTCATCTTTATTCATTCAAATATTTCATTCTTGAGCTCAAATTCATTGAAAAAAGAATAAGTAGAAACTACTTCCATGGTCATTCATATTATTCAAATTATTCGAGTTCATCCATTCAATTTCAAACTTTGAGTGCTTTTCCATTCACCATGCTTATCTGTTGGTATACAGAAATCCAAAAGGATGCATTATGTTTCAAGAAAATGGTTATAAGATTCAAAGTGATGCTTCATTCATGATAAATTTTCACTCCAAGTTTTAAGTGAAGAAAATCACATTCAATGTTATCGTTCAAGTGGCAATTCAACTCGATTCTATACAAAGAAAGTTACAATTTCAATCTTATTAATGAAAGTTTTTTTCACATGGTACAAGAGAAAATATATAAAAGCTAAAAGTCTTTAACTTATGTCATTTCTAATCTTCAAGCCAATCACCAAAATCCTAATCGTCACTAATTCTTCCAGCTATGCGTATGTGAAATAAACCTGCTACAAGCCCTGTCAAAACACACTTACAGTCTTCAAAGTAAACATTTACAAAACCCTTGCCAACACTTTGCAAACCCACATAACCAGGAAATTCACCATATAAAAATCAGAAGCAAATCAATTACCCAGAAAACATAATCAGACCAAGTTAATTGAGCAGCCAAAAAGCTAACAAATATTAACAGAGTTCTCTTAGCTTTTCTAACTTCTAACAAATTTTTCGGACTGACTTCTACTATAACAGAATTTATTATTATCTCAGCTTAACAATACAAGGAAAAGATCAGGAATATCAGAAGAAATACCAGTATATCTATGAAAACAGAAAATCAGAAACAAGAAGCCTGCTGCTTCCAAGCCCAAGTCGGCTGCGAAAACCAAGCCAGCTGCCAAATACCAAGCTGCACATCAAAACAAGTTGTATAATCAATTTCATGACATGCCAAAGCAGGTTATAACCAAGATGTGCATCATAATAACTAAAAAATTATTCACGGTTTAATCAGAATAAAAAAAACTCAGAGGAGGTGTAAGCTCATAACAGAATTAATCCCAACCATCCAGATCTCTAACAGAAATCAAATCAACAGTTCAGATCAATTCAACCTCTAACTAACTTTCTAATCTCTAACCAACTATGTAACAGAACTCACCAGATTTATCAAGGGGATTCTTCATTCTCTTCAAAGGAATCAAAAGAAAACTCGCTAAAATTTCTCTCTTCTTCCTCTCCCAATATTCACTCTCCACCTTCATCTTCATCTTCCAAAACATTGAGAAAAAACTCTCTTCTGCATCTTCATCATTCATCACGAAACCTCCTTCATCTTCATCACACTCCACTATTCTTCTATAGTCCTTCATATCTTTGTCATCAATTGTTGGCTTCTCTACAATTTTCTGCCAGAATCCACAACTTCGTCATCTTCATCTCAGAGAATTATCGGTTTACAACCACACATTCTGTCCTTTAATCACCATCATGTTCATCCTTCAATATCTTCAATCTTCGTAGTCCTTGATTCATCATGTGAACCATATTGTAGCAAGCGCAATATTTCTGCAAGAATGGAGACAAAGTCGTATCATCAAGATTCACTAAAAATCGCGACAGAAGATGCAAACAGAAGCAAAGGCTGAAAGTAGTAGGAGAAGACCAGAAGGAGGTTAAGCCATAGTGAAACGTACCTGGTCTCTGGATTTCTTGTGCTAACGGCACCGGAAAAGAGTCACCAGAACTATGCTACTCAGTTTGTTACTCGAGATCAGGTTTCTTCTTTAATAAATTTCGATCCAAATTGTTAGGTTCTCTGTTACAGTCGAATGTAGATTCAGAAGTTTTCATGGAATTAAGGGAAAATGGATGGTTGATATGCAAGACGAAGCAAGGGTTGAGTTGAATTTGAGAAGACGACGGTTGAGACGGAGAAGCGGTGAACTTCGAAGAAATAAACAACGACACATTTTGTTCACCAGAGAAGAGCGTCATCATCTAAAGCTTGTAAAAGAATACCGGGGTCAAAAAGAGAGTCTCAACTGCCGTTCCCACTGAGAGGAAGAAGAAGGCGAGAACGCGATATCTCAATTTCCGCACAGTGTTAACCCTAATCCCTTTTGTTATGTTTTTTGATTATAATCTGATTTTATTGATTTTGTTGTTGTTGAAATTCAATATAATTGATCATCAAGAAAATGAAATTGAGTAAGAATATGGATCATGGGCCAATCCGCATATCTCCCCCAAAGCCCAACGAAATGTCTTTTTTTGGCAACCTGAAACAAGTATTCACAAAGGCTAATTCTAGACCTCCCAAGCCCACTCTATTTTTTTTGTAAGCTGAAACCATTCGTAACAAAAACAATATCATGGACTATTAATTGGGCCGATCCACATCTCTCCCCTAAAGCCCATAAAAAACTGTTTTTGGCAGCTAGATAACATTGCCTTACAAAAAACTATTATTTGGACTCTTACTGCTGGGCCTAGCATCAAATTACTTCAGCATACCTCCTGCTTACAAATAACACCCCCTGAGTTTATTCTTTAGTATTTTCTTTTAAATAATTTTGTGAATTGTTTATATTTGCTTGAACTTTTTTTCTTTTACATGATTAAAATAATAAAGTCAAATTTAAACATTTGTTAGTTTTTTTATGTGATTTTAGGAATTAAATCCCGATTATCCGATTATATATGAGATTGGTAATTCACCTTTGATTATCCGATTATTGTGTGATATGCGGATGCTCTTGATATTTTGATTGTGATTTATTTTCACATCGATGATGCTTCAAAACTTATTCCGAGCATTTGATTTCTGACTCTTTTCTTTGTTTGGTGAAGCTTTCACAAATATCGTCAGGTTTCTTTTGTTTTGATGCTCGCTTTGCTACGGATTGATATCCGTTTGGTATTTTATCTTGTTTATCTCATTTCACACTTTACAACTTTCTTGATATCGTGAGAAGTAGGAAATAAAGAGCGTGCGCTCGAAGTCGCTGTTTAAAGACCTGTAGCAGGCATTCTGCACTTCATTTTCTATATGTGTTATGCTTGTGTTTGTTTCCTTGGTTGTTGATCGATGAGTCACTAAAATTAGGAATTGAGATCACGACTTTGCTCTCAGTTCATGCTCCCTATAGGATTTCATCGCTTTCCTTGATTTCTTGTTGATCGATGAGTCACTCAATTTATAAATTGAGATCACGACTTCACTCTCATTGCATGTTCCCCGTAGGATAGTTTTGTTAGAAATTTTTTGGTATGCTAACCTAGATAGGATATCTCTAGGTGTGTTCTTTTGAGCTTATTGGCTTGCTTGATTTCGTCTCTGTGTGCATGTTTGAGATGATATACCCTCGGCATGTTCCCTTAGGAGCTCTCGATTCAACTATAGATGATGATTCGAGATAGACATAATTTTAGGTGATAAACCCTTTCTATGCTCCTTTAGAACTTCTTGATTCATCTATATATGATGAGTTGAGATAGGCATTAGGATTGCTATCCAAGCATATCAATATAGGGTAGATATTTCCCTTCAAAACTCAACCATAGAACCATCATTGTATGATAACATTAGGGATTAGATTTAGGCTAGTTTCCCTTAGATGTCTTTTTCTTTTCTTTTGCATCCTTGCATTTAAAACAAAAAAATCTTTTTCTTGGTAAATGCATAAAACATCTAATAATTTTCAAATCCTTCTTTAAGGTAAAAGCTATCAACCAATCAAACTCTTTTGCGCCTTTGGGATTTTCTCTCAAACTTTTCAGAAAGAACATGTTAATTCACTTATGTGCTGACGCGTGATTCTCCAAAGGTCGAGCTGCGGAAAAAGGCGAAATTGATATTGTTCATTAAAAAATACAAACCAACAAAAACATGTGAGTCTAACTACGACTACTCTGATTCCTTAAAAGGGATACATAGGCATTGGGGTAGGGCTCGAGCGAGCACAACTTTTATTTTCCCTACATTCTTTTCTCCTTCCTTTTGCTTGCATTCCCTGTACAACTTAGATATAGATTTGAACACACCCTTTGATTAGAACAACGAGAATGGATACCTTAGAGTACTACATGCGTGTGGGGTGCTAATACCTTTCCCTCACGTAACAGAATCCTTTACCCGATCTCTCGGTCGTTTGATCGTGATTTCACCCTTCTTAGGTTTACTCGATGTTTACCTTTCCCCTTCACGTGGGATAAAAAACATTCGATGGCAACTTCATTGATTTCATTATCAGTTGATTGTTCAGCCGGTTGTTTCAGCTGGCGACTTCATTGGGGACAGATTGACCTATTATTGGTCCATCCCGGAATCGATCCTAGCTCTTGCTTTCTTCTCTTTGGGTGTTTATTTTTATGCTTTCATTTTATTCATTTGTACATGTTTATCTGAGCATATGTTTGCATTGCATCTTTATTGTTTTCCATATATTACTGTTGTGCTGGTTTCCGTGTTTTTTTGTTGGATGGGTGTTACTATGAGGTAAAAGGCCCAATACCCAGGCCAAGTGGCAAACAATAGGAATACTAGGAATAAAGTGGAACATGGACGGCTAGTTGACTTAGGTTTCACTATTTCCGCCATGTCGTCCATGCTCAGATGAGGTACAAATGAGGGGCTATCATTTTCACGTAGGTGATATGGCGATAGTTTTTCAGGAGTACCCTCGATTCTGGGTTACCCGACCTTACCCTGACCTAGTTTTCACCTGTGAGAGAGGAGGGAATATGATCTTTACAGGTACAGATGGTGACTATGTTCTGATGGTGATCGTTGTTCTGTTAGTGACTATGTGGGTCTCAGATTTATTTTTCGAGTTTCTGGATTCAGTATTCAAGATGGTTCTTTGGTTATGTTTTGGACCTTTGATCCTGATATATTCAACTTGGCCAGATATTATACAACGGTTATTCATGGTACTTGGTTCCGTTGTGTTCTAAAATTGGCGCCGAACCTTTGATACTGTTATATTCGGATTATTCAGCAGATTGATACAACAGTTATCTAGAGGATTATACATTTGTCATGCTGAAATTTTGAACCTATTTTGTTGCACCTTGCATCTCAGCATGTTTATTTTACACAAAAAAAGGAAATGTGAAAGATTGTATGAAAAATAAAAAAAGTTTGAACATGGCATTGCATCCGCTCACTCACCTCATGCATCTTCATGCATTCATAACAGGTACTCAGAGTGGGAAATTCTTATTCATGCCTGATATTTTCTCTTCAGAATGGTGAATCTTGACTTCTCACCGCTCCGTTGTCTGAAAAAGCCATGGAACAACTTTGTGGGGAATTAGATGAGATAATGAGATAAAAAAATCAGATGAGGCTATTTATCATGGACATGCAGGTTTTGGCCCATGGTCAGAAATCCTTAAAGGAGGAAAGATAACCAGTTAGAGACTCAGTTGAGTCAGATATGGAAGTTCTGAAGACAATGTCAACAAAGGGAAGTGGTAATGGATATATTATTACAACAAAAGCTGTCATTCATCCCCATCCTATGAGACATTTTTCAAATCGAGAGATACATTGTAGGTCTCATCCAGAACTTCGTGTTCCCAGATTTTCTTGCCAGTAGCTAGTTTCTGGTCTCCAAGTGAACCCATGGGGTAAAACTTATCAGCAGAGACAGAAAAAGCTTGAGAAGAAGGTTGATACAATCTTTATACCTTGTATCCAATTACTTCCTCGTGTGTTGGAAGCTCAGTTGATTAAGCTGCGTGCTTTGAGTCATCTTCCTACAAATTTCTCTCCTGATTTCGATGCAAATGCTAGATGTGTCTCCCATTCTAGGGCACCTAGTCATGATATGGAAGACTACGAGAGGTTGAAGTATGAAGTTTGGCACTTGTCTGACTTCTTTTCCAAGGTTCAGTCCATGTTTGGCAAACCGTTTCAGGCTCTTTCTCTTCAGCTGAGTGCTACTTCTGTGTAGTAGAAGGTAAGGTGATGCTTCTACGATGAAGAAGCATAAGATATCGAGGTCTTGGACATCTGCTGGTGTGTAGAAGGAAAATACCTCAAAGGTCGAATTCTACATTCAGAGTTTAGTTTCTTCTGTGTAGTAGAAGATTCTTGTTACAGTTGCTGGATTTTACTTTTGTATAGTAGAAGACGGAGACTCTTTTGTGAAGTAGGAGATTCTCCATAATTCGGTTGTTAAAACTTCTCTCTTGTGAAATAGGAGATGGAGTTTACTTTCTTCTGTGTAGTAGAAGATGCTTTGGTATAGTTGCTAGATGTTGCTTCTATGTAATAGAAGATGGTGCTTCTTTTGTGTAGTAGGAGATGCTTTGGAATTCAGCGGCTGGATTTCTCTTCTATGTAGTAGAAGATGGTTGGCAT